CGATCTGATGGCAGTAAATAAGACAACAATGTCCACATGGACAAATTAATTTGTACAGGTGCGAGAACGCTGTTCTTGGTACACGGGGTCACCTCCACTTGCGGAGAGTAGACTGAGGGCGACAAAATCAGTCGCGACGTGACCTTAGAAAGGGAACATCAGCCGTCCCTAGCAGTGTGGATATATCTTCTTAGAACTGGTCCCTAAGTGCATTCGAAAATTGACACTTTTGACCATAAGGCTACTGTTAAGCTGAAGTTTAAGTAGTCTTTATGTGAAAGTTTAGGAGCAACGATTGGAAATCAGCCGGAGGCAGCGCTTTGGGCCCCAGAGTCTACGCATTTCACATAACGAATAGGCATTGTGAAGACAAGCATCTGCTTTTTAAATGAGACAAAATTTTTGGAAAAAAATATCGCGGAACGGCGCTAAAAACCTGACAAGGGACAATACGTGGAACGACAGAAAGTAGTGTCGGTGGCGCTCTGCAATCAACCGCTACCGCCCACGGCAACAGGGCTGGTAGCCGTAGGCAAAAAGTTGCTGAAATGAAACATGCACGAGATTTTATACAGTAGCGAAATAAATAAATGTGGGCGTATCTATTGCTGGCGGGAGGGGATGTACTAGAGAGATCACGTGAACAGTTGCTAGGTATGTTTTTTTGCGATATAGTAGCTTCCCAATGGTAAAATAAAACTCGCATTTGTTTGAAAGCCATTAAACAAAATTAAATTTGATTTCGTTGTAACCACGGCCTGAAGAGTCTTTTATGCTGTAACGTACTGGCATACTCATTTACATTCTCAGAGTTTAATTTACATAATGCATGCATATAATAAAGATTCTTAATGCCTTAGCACATAACAAGTTAGAAGAAAGTTCAAACTCGCTAAAAAAATCTTACATGAACTATGTCAACATGAGAGATAAAACTCCATTGACTGGAGCGACTACTTCACCGTCCGAAGTCAACGATACATTGTCCATGTTTAACAATAGATGCGCTGACTGGCGAAATATTAAAGAAATTCTTACATGCTTTTTTGATTAGAAAGTAAAACTTAAGTACAGTTGTGGTGCTATTTATCCTAAATTATTTTAGTCAAACCAGGATGCATGCTTTGTAATAGGTATCTTTTCGACTGCCTTGACAGATCTCAATGTACAACAAGTATTCATTAATATATATTTGTCTATTTATTTTCTACGCTCGTCTACTTTTAAATATATTTCACATAGGTAATCTCATTTACCTATTAAGTCGTGATTCACATCAGCTCACATGTTGTAGATAAAAAAGGGGTTAATTTTTGATTTAAATTGTTTATAAGGCTGTGAATTGTCATTCTTAGAGCATGACATATTTCCATTTATTAGGGCTGTTTGTAAAGTCTACTACATGTTTTGCATTCACTGCAAACTTGTGCGCGGTCTATGATACCCATTCTTAATGGTGTATGTTCATGTAAAATATCATGTAAGTGAAACGAAAAGCATTAATTTTTTGGGAAATCCTGAATACAAGCTTAGTAACCTACCGAATTTATAATAAACAATGTGTTAAGATAGTTCAAAACCGAAAAATACCATTTATTTGATCGAACAATTCGAATAAGACTTAATTTATTTTTAAAACTGAAGCATATTTGTTTGCGGTTTTTCTACAAAAAGTGTTTGAAATTATAAGGATAGTGACAGTCAATAAATAAAATGCATTCTTCATATAGTACGAATCTTTGTAATTGATTTTTAATACTCTTATAGATTTGCATATATTTCCCTAAAAAATGCATATATTATGCTTTTTTTTACTTCTTTGATCCCTATTTATGTCCTCAAATTTTATGCAGGGAACGTGTTTTTTAAGAACGAAATTGGGTTTATGAATGACAACCCTTGATCGCATAGCATTTTGGGAAGTTTACTAAAACTACTTTTTCCACACATTTAGTCACCGCACATAGGTATTAGGTCATATACGTGTCCCATACCTGGTCCCAGAATCATGACCAACCCAAGCAGACCGGAGGCGGGAGAAAACGCGGGCGGCTAGTACTGCCTGAGCCGCTCCTAAGCGTACCACCAAGTCTGTCTCCGGTTCTACGGAGCACTTACAAACACAGCACACAACTCTGAAGATGGTGCCCATAAAAAGTTGATACTGCCAACAGGACGATGTTGATGTTTGAATGTGCGCCTTTTAGGGGCGCAATAGGAAATTATGTCACGTCAACAACTGCGTCTAGCCATCCGAAAGGCTCGAATACAGATGTATGGAGGAGAGAAGTAAAAGCGGAATCAATAGTAAGGAAGTCATCGACATTACCATTGGGCCCACTTCCACTTAAGTGACTCATCTACCCCTTAGTCATAGGCTGAAATGCTGATACCTCTTTCAAAAAGTGTCCGATTGTAGTAGCACCTGTTTTATTTAATTGTTAAGGCGCCTCTCAATTTTTAGATTCAGGGTGCGATAAAGACAGAAGCTACCATTGCATAACATCAGCCAAAAATCATTTACATTCACCTTGGCTTGGGCAAACCACAAGTGTACGCAAAAGGGTGAGAAGAGTAAGTGAGGTTTAGCATTACTTTATCTAGCACATAGTCTGAAACTGTGAAAGTTAAAATGCGTATTTGATCTGCCACGACACGTTACTTACCATGGCTTTGAGGGTCCTGATGTGGCAGTATGAATGTTCCTATGGAGACTTAGTAGTCAGAATTTAATGATTTATCCCTTATGAGACCACTAAGGTACTCATATGTGTGAGACCGGAGACTCCGCTTGCATGAAACATTGCTTAAGGGGATATAAGAAGCAGAATGTTTGCAGCATGCGGTGATAGAGTAGTTGGTTAACTTAGGGTTTATCTTCACGCCAAAGAAATTAAGATAACTTCACTGTTGAAACCATATTATTCTCAATGTTGTGAAGCATAGTTCATGTGTTTCGAAAAGAAAATGGCTATGCGTCAGTGAGAGTTTTCTAAAATGAAGGATTATTCCAGCCCCCACACTCTTTATGCCTATCTACGCTTCTCACTTACGTTTAAACCTGCTCGCACCGTTTGGTAGCATAATATAGACGCCAGGAGATTAGCTTTAAGAAATATATAATAGCCTAAACACCCCGATAATAGTACTAAACATGTGGTTTTAAAACCCTAAAATTAATTAAATAATCAGCTTTTTTCAAACCTTGACGGTCGTAATAAAGCTTAAAGTCTAACTAATCTCCTTTATTTGTTTCTTTTTAAGAAAGATTTGCAAAAAACTGGATGATTTGAAATTTGAATTTCAACAATTGTGCTGTAGGAATTAGTTTCGTAAATTCACCTAAGAGATATTTTTAACATGAATGCTTTTGAGAAATATCAGCTTATTTTCAAATTTCTTCGACTTATATAAAATTTTTATTCGAGTGCGTTAGGGAGCCATCCTTTTGCTCCACCTAATCAGTTAAAAAAGTCTATTGGAGTTTTAGACCCTCCAAATCCATTTGTCCTGTTAGTCTACAATTGTGGATTAATCTAGGTAACAAACATAAAATAGTGAACGATCGTATTTGCTGATTCATAATCAGGCCGATAGATTAACAGAAGGATTTATCATTTTTATCGATTTGGAAAGGGAAGCTATGAGCGTTTAAACGGGTTTGTTTGTGGTAGTGTGAGGGAAATGAGTATGACCATCGAAACGTTCTCCTCTGTCAATAAACCGTAACCGCTTGTGAATAATTAATGTATTTACGTAGGACAATATCTTATGTACACATATTAGCCTGAAAAAGACTTACGTAAGAAGATAATGCGCCCCAGATTCTTTTTATTAAATCGGTTTACCCTTTTAATACTTTAGTAATAAATGGTTTCATTAGGGCAACAAATCACACCCTGCATTACCTCGTCCGAACCTGTTCAGTAAACTAACAAACTTGGCCCGTTAATAGGTTCCTTTTACCGTGAATTATTGAAAGTGCAATACAGAGCAACTGCAGGGGATTACATTTTTTATCTAATTCTGCCGTGCAAACCTCTGCCAACTAAATCACTTAATCGTCTTTCCATGAGATAAGCAGTTAAACGTAATAATTAATCTTAATGATTAATCTTAATCATGAAATTGGAAGTGAATTTAAGGTGTTCGCATACGAACTATATGTTGGCTGCGTCCGTGTTCATGTAAGTATGAAATAAAAGAACATAATTGCTAGATCTTATTGCCTTTCGCTTCCGACAACAATACTGACATCACTCAAATAAGATCCCGGAATATATTATTCTACTTCCAAAGAAATTATTAGTAGTTTATTAGCACCCATTGGGAATTTTGCAGATGCGCATTATAGATTACTGACAGCCATTTAGTTAACTTGGTTTTTTGTTAACCCAATTCACTATCCTGAGGGAAAATCTGATTTTTTTGTTTGCGTATGTAATTTTCCCAATGTATTATGCAAAACTTCCTTTATGGTAATATAATTTGCTTTGCAGGTTGCTTTGTTCTTGCAATAGTTGTTTTCCTGCGTAAATTTACATCACTGTTAACCTTGGTGAAAACTTAGATTCTTTTCGTTAGGTCTTCTACTATGTGATGGACGCCGCCGATGTGGACAAGCGCACGCTAGAGATAACCGTCTGGGACTACGATCGGGGAACAACTAACGACTTCATCGGAGGCGTGATATTGGGCGCCAAAGGGAAGGCGGAACGAAGGGAAGTCTGGCAGGCTGTTTTTCGTCCCCCCTATCGACGTTTTGAGGCCTGGTTTCAGCTGGCGTCCAGAAGTGAACCCGAGGGAGAATCCAACCAATTGACACGTGTGCCTACCCCTGGCATCACAGACTAATGTTTCCTACTCAAAGATTATTCGAAGAATTTGCAAAATGTCATTGTCTACACGTGCAGTATAAAAGATATTGCTAGTGAAAGGAAACATTCCACGACTTTATATTTGTTACGTTTGCTGGCAATCCCCTGCAACATTTGCATACCGCATGTTGTCCGTTATATACATATGTTTGTTTCGGAAGCTTTCGTTGCCGGTTTTAAGGCCTCGTCCCACAATTGTGAATAAAATTTTAAAAAATCTATGCTTCTGATTTACACATTTCCTTTTATTTAGAGCTGTTACCGTAATAGAGTAGATATCAGGTCTACATACTGGCTAGGTTTGGCTAGTATTTTACGAACGCTGTTAATCGTGTTCACGTAATAAAGCAGGGAAAAAACAGTGAAGTAACAAAATTTTCAAAAATTACGATATTGTCTGAAGAGCACCATTGTGGTTAGTCAGGCGCTGGATAGAAAATTAAAGCTATCATATTAACAGTATCTTAAGCAAGCACCTTATTAACATATTCAAATTAAATATCAAAATTCGTTCCCGCGCTTTCCGTCAATCGCCTGGAGATATAAAAAATGAGAATATGGCCACCGAATTTGGCATATTAGAATCCATTTTATTGCTAAGGTTGATGTGGTAGACGCAGAAGAGCTACAAAACTTGCTCACTATTTGGTGGGATAATGTCCATCATTTTAATTTGGGTTATTTTAAGATTCGAAATAACCATGGAGATGGTAAAAATTGTCATGCTTTGAATGAACCTCGTGCCCTATTATTTATTGTCTTTTTAGTAAATCCCATTCGGCAGGTCAGTTGTTACGTAGTCATCTGGACTTATCTCATAAACGCGAAGTTGTATCCATCCAGGAGCATTCTGTTGGGTCATATAAATTTTTCCTTTGCTGTCTTGTTCAGTTTCCTAAACCACTGTTTTCTCTGTGTTTGTTTTTCAAGTCTGAAACCATTCTACACTGGAAATTGTTTCTGATATAGCAAAACCTCTCATTTTCGTTTATACTATGACTTACCTATGGTAGAAGTATTCTTGTAACTTAGCTGTCGTGATATCCATTGGTCTAAAAACGGTACGCCTATTATTCTATAAAGAAGTATCTGGTACATACCAAACAGGGCAAATGTCTGTTGTGCAAATTTGAGGATGTAAGGGTCTCATTTCTACCTATAACCTGCTAATTGGTTTTGCGGGCATGGAAGAGATATGTTGTGCATTGGGGATAGAGGTGTTAATCTAGGTAATAATATATCATGATTCTCCTGCTTGTATTATCCAAACAGAAGAGATAAAGTGCTTGTCAGCTTTACACTGCAGTTTTTTCCTATTGTCTGTGCAGCTGGTCACTTAAAAACGAAAACTATATGGATGATAGTTATCACAAATGAAGTTAAGACCGAGGTCGACAATCTTCTTCTCTCAGTACTGAGAACTCTAAGGTGAAATTCAAAATTTATCTATAGTGCGCCTGAATGGTTTATGCTATTAGGGACAAGTTAGTGTTCCACTTTTCGCCACGGGAAATATGAAAAGTATTCTCCTCCATTTAAACTTGCATTAGCTCCTCCAAATATGCATAGTTCTGGCGTTTCCTCTTGCGGAAATAATACCCGCTAGGTAAAAAGTCTGTAGTAAATTATGGTAACTAACTTTGTGCAGTCCTTTTAAGCAATACACTTCTAATTGTGGTTAAACGAGAACTCGTGGCACGCTTAGATTCTGGATGCCGTAGTAGAGTAGTAGAGTAGTAGTAGAGACAGGCTAAACATAGTTCGAGTTTAGTGTGAAAAACAAGCTGTCTAATACTCTGAATTTGCAATATTAGCTGCGGTTTCTTTTCAGAAAGCACTTTTTATTCTGCTAAGAAGTGTTCATACCTTGTGTGGTTACAATTGCAAAGTGCAATTAAGCATTGTCTACGCTAGCGCAACAGAAAAACATAACTTGCACTTTGGTTTGAATTCACAGCATACGTCACATCGGACTCCGAGCAGTTTCGCTAAGTGCAGTTATGTCTCTAGAAACGTTTGCTAATATATGCTAAGCGTTCGATGGATCTCACGTTTTCAAGTACTTGAGGACCACTTATGAAAATTCATAAAAGTGAATAAAATTTTAACTCAAGAGGAAGTATCGAAACACTGGAAAGGAATAAAAGGCTTACATACCACGTGTGTACACCTTGCCTATTCAGTTTTCTCGATGTTTGCGCCAAATTCATAAAGAAAACTGACCTCATTTATGTTCACTTTTTTAAACAATAAACTTAGATATTTTTACTATTTTCCGCAGACATGCTCAGGTACGGAAATGGTTAAATTTCGGTCATCTTTTAACTCAAAATATACGCACAGATAGCGAATAAAGGCGTAGCTGGCAAGCACTGTACACGTTTCAAATCGCACACAACTGGATATACATTCATCAAAGGCGTGAATTTAAATGTAGGTAGTGTTTATTAAAACAATTTTCGGAAGCTGCCTCCCTAAGAATTCCAACAGGTAAAAAAATCAAAAAATTGCCACCACTTGTAACCTGAGGCTAAACGAGCGTAAGGTCTAATTTTAGAGATAAAGTCTAAAAATCCTTGACTAAAGTCTTTTGACAACCTGGCGATTCATGCTAGGAAAAAGTATTGCATTTTTTAGATGCAAGATGTGCCGCTTACAAGCAGCAAAATTCGCGAACAATTTAAAAAAATTGCTTTTGACTCCAATAAACGGTCATTATGCAGTGTGGAGGGGGCAAAGAGAAAAAGACATTCTTTATTTTCTGATCCAAGAACTCATTTGTGTGAATTAATGTAAATTATCTGCTGGCTGGTTTCGTTCTTTAATAGACGTGTGTCTGCACCTTCGTTTGGATTTCTGTTGTGCACACCTACGCGGTAGAATGCGATACGCCACAGTTTATCCGAAAACACGATTTAATTTCCGCCTGCTTGTTTTATACATTTCAAAGACGACGACATTGTGACAAATTTACTGTGCATTAATTGTTTTGATAGTCTTTATTCGAGACGACTGTAATGTTTTTGAATAAATTATTAATTGCCTATTATCACTTAGTTTTCACAGATCCAAAGGAAAAGGAAGCATTATGTGCGGTCCTTTTGGTATAATAATTGTGATATTAGGATAAAAGGAAGCCTGAATCTTTCCGGAAATTCATAATATTTACTCGACCTCCGGACAAAATACGGAAAAACTCTGGTCAGAAATTAAAATAGTGTTTGCTACAAAAGCACCCGCTGAGATATTAATACATTTGCATTCCTGTTAACTCGAATTGATGTGAAAACTAAGAATGTTGGCTTAAACGTCAATTCTAAGGCTAAATCATACGAAGTGCAGAATCGTCTTTGACTAATTCACATGCTTTAACTGTTATGGAAGAACATAGGGGACAAGTAAGGGGAACGCTAGTTTTTTACCTGTTTCTTCACTCATATTTGATGTGGTACAGAAATATTTAATTATTCTTAAACCGCTGAGTATTTTCATAATCAATTTGCCTAAATCGAGTCGAATCAGACCTTCACACTCAAAAAGCATCCGAACACAGTTTTCAGCACAGGAGATTCACGATGGAGAAGGAGTAAGTAAAGGTAAAACCAGTGAGTATATGTTAATGTTCTCGGACTGCGCATGGGTTGCGATGACCCGACAGTAAAGATGTTCATGAAAGGAACCTATACGACTCAAGTATTGGCTTTAAATAACAAAACTAAAGTCAACTACAAACGCATTTGCATGTGATTGCCATACCAAGGCAACCTATTTTGTGTCATAGTTCTTACATTGCGATTCATCCAATGAAGACATTGACTGTGTGTGTACCTTTGCAATGTCGCTTATCAGCATTTTTGTAAAATAGACGACAGACTGGGACACATGAGACAAACCTTAGGTACGGCATTCCATATGTCGATGACGATCGGCTCCCTCGGATTTCATGAACATCTGGTTAAACACAGGAGTGGAGCACCCATCAACCGTCAGAAGAAGTAGAAGATAGAGCAGTTGACATGGCAAGAAACATATGTATTCTTTTCTTCAGAAGTGGCGCAAAATAGATAAGCAGTATAGTACGCATAAAACTGCGGTAGAAAAACTCAACGACGCTTAATTCGTCACTGTCTTGAAAAAATGCAACTAAAATGCAAGGTCCAACGAGCCTGAAGTAACCGCAGAAAGTGACAACTTAATTTGTGCGGGCGGCTTGAATTATAACTCAACCACACGCAGTTGTCAAGATTCCGATGGTACACCCCGAGACAGTCGTGCCAAGGCTTTAGATACACCAAATACTTATTAGTGCGGAGTACAGTGAGGTTCGTTGGTTTCCGCGACGGTAATGGTTAGCTGTTTTGTACAGCTGAGTTTGGCTAGCAAAATAGCGTTCTAGTCTGAGCAGACAAATTTATTGTGCTTTCATACTTTATTCGTACTTGTACTGGCAGGTTTTTTATGTCGTCAGGACGTTAGGGTATATGTAAGAACATTTGTAATTTCGGATTATGGCACGTATTCCAAGGTAGATTTAAAAACTAGAAACCAAATGCGGATTCTTGGAATCATAAAGCATCTCTCACATAGCAGTAACTGTGAACTGTAATTGTAAAAAAACACTTTAGAACGAATACAGGTTGTCTCCTACCATATTGTAAGTCTAAGTAACAGCATCCCATCGGCCTTATACGTCCCTCCCTCGCCAAGCAGCTTATTTTAAGTGATCCCTTCCGTTATGTGCATGCCACTTCATGTAACTCACTGCTATTCCATTCAAGGATTCCCATCTCACACCTGTATGGTTCGGGCGACTTCAGCCTAAGGCTTTTACACGTATAGACGTAAGGAATAATTCTGAGCCCTTAAGCTCCACCAAGTTCGATGATGAAATGCGTACTGAAATTCTGACAGTTATTTTCACTTCGAACAATTTACTTAATTGGAGTCATGATATGGATTATTTTGCAGTCAAATCTC